ATTCAGTAGTTCTTTTCCAGTAAGACCTTTAAAGTTTGTAGTAATAGCAAGTCTAATTGTGCTACGTTATGAAATCTCTATCGGGATTGTTCTCAGAGGCGTAGCGTGGTAGGGGCAGGGGGGACAGATGTCCCCGGGCGCCAGCTAGTTAGGGGCGCCAAAATGTGCTTTGATATTATTTTATTGATGAAAATGATGGGTTTGAGAGTTGAAAAAAAGAAAAAGGGGCGCTAAAAATGGATCTTGTCCCCGGGCGCGAATCTTGTCCCCGGGCGCCAAACACCCTCGCTACGCCACTGGTGGGGCGCCCAGTAAATATTTATAAAAAAAGAAAAAGGGGCGCTAAAAATGGACCTTGCCCCCGGGCGCAAACCTTTTCCCCGGGCCCCAAACACCCCCGCCACGCCACTGATTGTTCTGCCATCTTCCCCAAACTCGACCCCCCCCCCCCACTTCATGGCCACTTGAGCACTAGAAAAAAAATTCTTAACTTGGAAGACTTTCTTCTCCGTCGAGAGTCCAATTTCCAAAAAAAAAAACCAGCTGCCCAACATAGCTTCCCTTTTCACGACCGAGAAGACGGACGGTTACTCTGCATGACCCGATCAAGTGGCGGGAGTTTCAGTACTATTTAGTGCGTTTACCGTACTCCTTCATTGATATGGTGAAACAGTAGATAACAAATATAAATGACTTTCTGAGACAATTCTCGACACTAATAGTTTTCCTTGTCAGATGAAAATATTAAGTAAAATTTAATAATAATAATAATAATTTTTTTTTAAAAGACTGACCAGACTAGCACCACGTCCCCTAAAAATGAAGACATTTATTTTTATCTCCTGCCTTTTTGTCGTCCTCATTACAAAGCTCTTAAACATGCCATCTTTGATTATGCCATCTTTGATGACTTAATTTTTCAGCATTAGCGGTGTCAATCTTTGCCGTGGTGGCTGCTTGCCCCGTTGCTGTAATGTTTATCGTGGCCTACGTACTTGTGTAAGTAAATTAGAAGACACTACTTTCTGTTCATATTTGTCATGACCAGACAGTATATTCGTAGGTAAACTGGAAGGCAATACTTTATGGTGATAAATACCATGGCCTATGTACTTATGTAAGTAAACTGAATGACAACACTTTCTAGTTATATTATATCATGACCTACTTATGTACTAATTGTTTAAATATCTTATTGTGAAACTATATTTCACGTTTTACACTTTTATTAATTTTTTTTTTCTTTTAATGGTGGCAATTATTTTTTAATTTTTCCGTAAACAATTACATTTTTAACTTAAAAAGTAACACATTTTGTTTTACCTCGGGGCAAATAGGGTAACATAGTAAACGTGGTATATAAATAACGGGTTTGGCATTGTTCATGCTTGGACATGGGGAAGTAACTGAAATTAAAAATAAATCAATCTTCTTTCCCAATTAACATTTCTTTTTCCTCATTGTATTTCTTAAGAAACGAAATACATTACACAAATATTATCATTTAATTTTCATTTTTTTTTAAAGTTTATTTATTAAATTTAAATGTATTTAATTGAGTTACTGCTGACCATCATGGCATGGCCTTTGCTTTCATTAAGTATTTGTTTGATCTCAGGCGTGAGAAACAAGCCTCAAACCTGTCCCATTTACAAAGTCGATCTACAGACAGGAGCGACACTGGGAATGACAATGATAAAAACAAGGCAGTTATCGCTAAAACTCAAGTGCAGGACAGCTGAAGGTCTTCAGAAAACATGGTCCTTGCGGCGTTGTCTGGTTCCAGGATATTTCACGTGTTTCAGTGCCATCTTCGGTTGTCAGTTCGTGTTCGGTAATAAAATATGACCCCTAACGTGTCTGATGAGACACAGCTCCGCGGCAAAGCCGGCGTAAAGAAGGGGGCGGTATCTTAAGCAAATTGAACTTTGTGGGACCCTGAACATTATATGCAACTTACAAACTATGGGTAGGCACGGCCTGGCCATATTAATAATAACAGTTTGGCCTAATATTACAAGGTCTATGCGCCCCCTCCCCCTTTGGGAGTCGCCCAGTCCGTCATCTCCAAGTGCTGACTCTGTTGGATAAGAGACAGATGATTAAACGGTGTACCTTTCTAAAAGGAATTTAAAAGACATCATTAGTCGATCGGTTGGTTAAATTGATTTTAACTTAGTTGAGTTGATTTTAACTTAAGAAGAGGAGGCAATCATCGTTTGGAGCAGCGGTTACACGCTCTCCAGTTTTATTTATAAAATTGTTATAACATAAAATGATTCTTCTCTTGGTTTTTTCATAAATTATTGACTGGCACGGGTGACTAGAAGTGACTATTTATAACGCCATTTTATGGTTTAATATTGTTCGTTTTTTATGCACAATTATTTGATTTAATTGAAATCATTTTACAAATTAGTTTTAATCAATAAAATAAGTTTTCATTCCCTCTATATGTTATTCTTCCATTCTATATTACTGTGCGACACACTATATAATTCTAGTAAATTGCCCGAAGTAATTGGAAATTTTGTCATGTGTTAAAAAGAAAATTGTTGTATAATTTTGAGAATTTAGATTGTCGAGCTTCCCGCGGCTAAAAGTGATAACACCAGATGAAGAAGTGATAAGTTTGCTAAAATTGCTTGTTGAATTTTGTAATGCTCAGTTCAGAAATAAACTTATTACAGCTTTTTTAAAACTTAAAGATAGCTTTCATCAGCGTAAACGGTGAAAAATTTGTTAAAACCAACTACAGGCAGTGTTGTATCGAAAACATATTATGGCAACACGGATAGAACTAAAACTACCCCCCCCCCCCGGGCCTGTATGGGTCTTGAGAAATCTATTTTTATGTAATTCAGATTTACAAAAGAATTCATATCAAGGGCCACATAGACACTGATTAGTGGTAGATCTAATAAGCAAACATGATTTTGTTTAAATAAAATATAAAAATTCTTTGTTTGGCTAGCAAATTTTGCGCCCCCTTCGAGGGTTGCCAAAAAAAAAAAAGCCCCGTGATTTGCCATACCGTTGTTACGCCTCTGATGACAAAACTTGAGAAAGGTTACATTCTTAGAATGAAAAGTTTTAAAAATGAATCAAAATACATTTAGGAACAAAAAAAACTCACATCAAATAAAATTAAGATAAGTGCTGACAAAAGTAAACAACAATGTAGGCTGTCACGGCATCATCAATGTAGGCTGTCACAGCATCATCAATGTAGGCTGTCACGGCATCAGCAATGTAGGCTGTCACTGTCACAGCATCATCAATGTAGGCTGTCACGGCATCATCAATGTAGGCTGTCACGGCATCATGAATGTAGGCTGTCACGGCATCGGCAATGTAGGCTGTCACAGCATCCTCAATGTAGGCTGTCACAGCATCATCAATGTAGGCTGTCACGGCATCATGAATGTAGGCTGTCACAGCATCCTCAATGTAGGCTGTCACAGATACACAAGATAAGTCTAAAATTCCTATCACCCAAAGTCTCACTTAATGCAATGTTTCTCAACCTTCCTAATGCCACGACCCTTTACTACAAATGTTGTGGTCACCCCAACCATAAAATTATTTTCGTTGCTACTTTATAATTGTGTTTTCCGATGGTCTTATGCGACCCTGAGTAGGGGCGTTCGACTCCCAAAAGGGGTCACGTCCCACAGGTTGAGAACGGTTGACTTCATGGTTCTTGGCAACAAAGGCTTAGTAATCAAAACAGTTCTGAAACATCAAGATGAAAAATAACAACTTTCATACTTATATTTCATTGATCAGTTATAATTTTAGCTATCTATTTGAGGCCAGTGGGGCAGCGAGGCCAAGGCCAAAAGCAAGGCCCCACCCCTCAGATAGTCCTTGGTTATCATCTAACTGGATGCTCTTTATCAATGGTAGATTTGGATAACCTTTCACCTAAGTGCAAACTATCAGTGTATTACTTATCTGCAGAATAGGTCAAGGCCATAAGAAACTGACGATGTAAATGTACAATGATAAAGCTACTATCAATATTGATAAAGCTTCTGTCAATATAACCCATATGTCATTTTTAATGTTATCTCCATTTTGCTTGGTGATGACCTTGTAATGAGTAGCTTAACAAGTTGATCCTGGACACAGAACTAAATACTAATTTTTTTTTTAATATTTAAAAAAAAAAAAAAAAAAAAAAAATAAAAAAAAAAAAAAAAAAAAATAAAAATACCCATATTTCATTTTTAATGTTTTCTCCATTTTGCTTGGTGATGACCTTGTAATGAGTAGCTTAAAAAGTTGATCCTGGAAAAAAAACTAAATACTAATTTTTTTTTTAATATTTAAAAAAAAAAAAAAAAAAAACTATTCCAGCAATAAGATCAAAAGATATGAACTATTCAAATTAAATATTTTAGAACCTTTCATGTCAATGCAAAACTTCAGTACAGTAACCATTGAAATACAGTAGATGTTGTAGAGTTGTTGTCTAAATCAACTAAGCGTTCAATGTATTTAACAAATTTGTTTGACTTTCAACAACACTAAATTTATTCCATCGACCAGATAAGATGCACAACATTCAAGTTTTACATTCGTGGTTGTTTATTATGATTGGTAGAATTTGCCCATATCTTGTGTTTAGGTGCAATCTACATTTTAGTCCTGTAAAGGATGTGGTGGTGGTTCTCAAACTGTATATTTTGCTAAAGTATGCAGGCAATGACAATTTCATATGGTTTTCAATACAAGTTCAATGCATGTAATGTTTCAACCTGACAGGAGAAACAGTGATGCCATCCCATATATTTCAGCAAACATAAGAGTGTTTGGCATTTACATCAGCATTTCACATAATGCAGTTAGTTGTTTTAATGATGTATTCTTATAACAAGACAACTACCAGTACAATCTTTTGTTCCAAACTATTGTGATGAAGTACTTAATGAAACCAAGCTCATGGTGGGCTGACCTTATTACACACATTCACAATTCCCATGCTGAGACTAACAACTATAATAAAAAAAATAAAAAGAACATTTGATTGTAAGAAAATAGGTTTGGTTTAATATTTTTTTTTTTAAGGTTTCTAACCTTAACATGAATTTACAACATGGGAAAGTAGTGTCTCTACGACATAATTGCCTTCTTGCATCTGTACTTTATATTTCTATTGAAGTCCAGCATGAAGAGACCTATGTGTAAAGAAAAGGAGGGTATGCACACACAAATAGAAAATTACATTATTTATGAATTACAAGCTGATGCTAACATCAATTTATTTATACACTTAGTGAATTTGTTTTACATTCATTTCGGCAAAGGATGACTGAAATGAGTTGTGCAGGTAAAGAATTGATCATAGATTGTGTAGATAAGTAAATACATCAGCGAGATGAAAAAAACAACTATCTTGTTATTTATCACAGCCATTTGGAATGTCATGTAGTAGTAAACAATTTGATACCTGCAGCATTCAAAGTACACTAAACTGTGATAAACACAACCCAAATAAAGTCTTGCAGCAGAAGACTCCTTGATACAAGTAAAAGCTGAAACAGAGCTGGCTGGTTAAGTTAGCATAAAAAACAGAAACTTTAAACTCAATGTTTTATTGCTTTGCTTTTTGTCAATCTTTCATGAATTTTAATTTGTACAGTTGACAATATAATATAGAAAGGTAATAAGCTACGGAATATAACAATGCTAAAAAATTGTTCAAGTGCTGATCTTGTGAATAAAGGCAAAAAAGCAGCTAAATTAAGCTACATTTCATGAACCTTGTATGTGTGTTAGAATTATAACAAAAAAGAATACTATGAAAAGGAAACTGTTGCCTTAAATGTGAGCTGGGCCATCAAAGGTAAAGTAACTTTTTCCATTGATGGTTTTAGCAAAGGCCACAAAAGGTGCGGCAGGCAGGTTGTTGCTGGTTTCATAGATGGAACATTTCATAAATGCACACGGGGACTCCCGCCAGGCATAACGGAGACCCTTGAGCGGTTTTCCCTGGCAGACGCCCGAGTACAAAGTGACTGTGGTCTGGTTGTTGGTGATGATGTCCGTGAACACCCAGCTGTCTGCACATTGGATCTGGTGACAAAGGTCAGGGATGTAAGTTATAAGTTTCATTAATACTGTGCAGTGAAGAGAATATTTGAAATTATGTCTGCTGGTAGCCAAGTCAAGAGTAAATTGACATTTGGTAGACAAGTAACCACAAAGGAAAATAAATAAAATTTTCTATAATATCAAAACAAAGTATTTAAACTGAACCTATGTGCAGCTTCAAGCAAAACGAACTCACAGCAAATTTGTGACAGTTGTTTAAAAAATCTAAGTTACATTTCGTTTATTTTTTGTAAACATTCAAGATGGCTTTACTTTGCTACACACAGACTTTACATATACTTTACATACGTAATAAAGTATATTTTTTAAAAAATCTTTTCAACTAGTAGTTTGCAGAGGCATTTCTATTTCAGTGTTATTCACAAAATTACATGTGTGATATTAAATAGTTTATGAGGTTTTATATGTATATAGTAATCCACTGTTATACTTGGTACCAAAATTACAATTATTTTCTTTGAGTGAGGGATCAGCAAATCTATCAATTAAAGTTCATCAACATTGATGAGTGGGATAATACATACTAAATGTGAATTGAAAGGGTTAATGTGTACTTGACATTTAATACCAGACAAAGTTGAAAGGGGGAAAGACTTACTTCAAAGCCATTAAAGTCCCTGACATCAAGTACCCAAGTGTTACCATAATCTATAACAAGTCCTGCAGATGTGGTCACAGCTTGCACTGGCAGGGGTCCTTGGAAGATCCCTGACTGACCATAGGCTACTGCAAGGCCACTTAGTGCTAACCTCACTCCTACATCTTTCTTATCTCTTGGGTGAATCCTGATGGGAAACAAAACAGTTTAACTTTCATTTCCCAGAACTGTGTAATTACATCTGACAAAATTTTAATGTTAAGCGACAGCAAGTTGGAGGTGAGAAGAGGGATCACTGGTCTGTCTGTCGTCAAGGAAAAGGGAGGAGGAGGAGGAAGAAAGTTTAAGGAACCTCAATTTAATAACTAAATTTTGCTAATGAAATACAAACTTACGATCCATATGATGATGTGAAGTCTGGTAAATCCATAGCAACAGCCATGAAAACATTGGGTAAATCTGAATTTGGTACATAGCCATGGTCGGCTGTTTGATGCCATCTGATATCAGGGAATCCAACAGATATTGTTGGATCAGGGGTGTTGGGGGCCAACTGAAAAGAGGAAAGAAATTTAAAATTATACACTTGCTCAATGACAAAATCTGGCCGCCTATGTGCTTAGTCAGTATGGAAATTAATATTTTATTGTACTAAAAACTTAAAATGTAAATTGTATAATCCTTATTAAAATCAAGCATTATCTGGCATCTCATGATTAATTTAAACAATTCTCTCTAAATATTTATAATAACTTCTTATCCCTTTGAAAGGGTAATGCCATAAACATGATGATAAATGACAAATGTTTTTAGCAATAAAGTTTGCAAGTTATGATAAATTTCACCTGCACAAAGCCAAAGGGGAAGCTGAGACTTGTTTGGCCATTTGAAGCTTTGTTAAAATTAAATCTCCAGTCTTTTATCATTGCTGGGAAGGTACAGTTGTATTTATTCATCCGGGCACCACTTGCGTCTGCCTCACCTGAAAGCAACCAAGACCTTTAAGTTCTATATTAACACAGAAGAAAATAATTTTAGTTCTACATTTTTACTGCCTGTTATTGAGGACTGTACCGTACGAATAGACAACTGGGGCTACCGTTGCGCATGACCTGTTCTGTGGACTTGATAGCTAGCTATTTGTATTATGTACATATGTAATTACTTTATTGTTTAGAATAAAATCGTAACACCTCCTTTAGGTTGCAACTGGGAAGAAATGTTTAAAAATCCATTAGTCTCAATCATCAACATGTATTATTTTCAGTTGAAACAAAGTTTGTGAAAAATTTCTAAGTAACAAAAAAATTGGAAGAACAAAACTACCTTGATACCAGATGGCGCCATAAATAGTCATGCCAAGAAGGGGATGAATCATGGCATTCCACAAAACAGAGTTATCTCCAGGACCTTCCAGTCTATGTCTTATATCCCAAGGCTGTGTTTTGACATATCTGGTATGAGAAAATTATGGAGAGTGAGATGGAAAATAAAATCAAGAGAGCAAATTCAGCACACTAAAAAACATGTATGACTGGTTATATGTGTGCAATTTTATACATTTTCACACGTGATTGTCAAACACAAACAAATATTAATCAAAAGATGTAACGACATTGCTAGCTAATATTATAATCGTCAAAAATCAATCTTGCATTAAGATGACTTTTCTATCTTTTTAAATAAGCTAAGCTGATAAATTTTAATTAACAAATATAAGTGACATTCTCCAACAGTTCCACCTTTACCATATAAGAATTACTATTTTTTAAAATTAGTAAATACCAAATCAAATGCTTACTCTCTGTATGACGCTGGTTGTAGGACAGGGGAATTAAAAGGGTTCCCACATGCTGCTAGAGCTTCTGGTGATGACCAAGCTTCCACAGGGGTGCCACCCCAATTGGTCCCTATCAACCCAATAGGCACACCACGAGCTTTGTGTATGTTTTTGCCAAAAAGCCAGCAAACAGCAGAGAAGTAACTCCATGCAGTTGCACCAATGGCATCTGGAGAATAATTCAGCAAAATCTCGCACTTCAATAGAAGAAATAATCCAGAAAAGGTCTTGACTAAATTAAACTAGATGGAAGGAGCTTTTCCTTAGACTAGTATTTGCTTTTTTTTCCCTCCTTCTCAAAACTTTGTGATTGCATATCTTAACAAAAGGTTATTATGTTTTCCCGCACTGCAATATAGTTTTGCAAATTTTTTTTTTAACAAAAGGTACCAGAAATTATTTTCAAGAGCTTCATTTTCTTAAATTCTCTTATTAATTTAAGGAATAAAAAGGAAATAATAAGTCATTTACAACAAATAAGACAAATTTTTTTAGGTAATGGCCGTTGGTGTTAAGAAAATTACAGTTTGAACATTTATATTTTATGCTTTAGATTAACAGCAGAAAAGACTGACAACAATTTACTTTTATTTGGTGCTGTCCAGCTTTCCTCAACTCGAATCAGATCGTACTGTGGTGTTGTGGCAGTATCCATATTTACTGTAAAGAGTCGTATGTTTGGGTAATTTTGGGCATCTGCCATTTCATCCTCTGCCCCGTCCATCTGAATGTAATGGAAAAAAAAAATTTCAATAAATTTTTTTTTCAGTTTCAGCAGAAAGAGACAAAATCACGAAGCAAGAAACCAAAACTAAAAGACTTGCGTGTTGCTCTGATCTAAGATAATATACTAACTTGAACAACGGTGAACTGCATGTTTGACTGGCCAGAACATATCCAGACATCACCAAAGATGACATCATTTAGAGACAAAGATCCAGCCTCAGCTTGAATATTGATGTTTACTGATGTATTGGCAACAAATGGGTCAAGAAGAAAATTCCACACGCCTAAACCATCAACTGGACCTTGTTCTACTGTGGTTGAGTAGTAGTATGGCTTTGTAGCTGGTACTGTGACCAGCTTGATAAAAAAAAAAAGACAGTTGAAAAATTAAATTCATTAGTAAGGAAAATGTATGTCTATTTGACGACTTAGAAAGTGATTTTTGTTATGCAGAGAAACATTTCTATTTTGAATATTAACTTTGTGGCGCAAAAATAAAATAAAACTATTTTATGATATTAAATTAAGCTTCACTGTGCAAATGTACCTGCATGATCACTTTTTGACCAATATCTGGGGAAAATCCATATATGTTTGCTCTTCTAGGGGCTTGTTGAAGCACCATATGATTCTGAAAGTGCTTGGCCAATGCAAAGGACACAGTAGCCTTTGGTGCCTCCTGTCTTAGATGTTTGTGATACAATGCTGCGAGATGAGAATGGTTACAAATTTATACATTATTGATAAATAGTAATTCAATTGATGTCCTTTTTGAATGTTTAAGTAATGTAGATTGATATTTTCAAGAAATCAAGTTAACCTAGCCTAGGTCTTAGATGAGCATGTTTATTGTATTCAAAATTGATATGCTGTAAGCATACTATACTAGCAGAACTAACTACTACCTGTAGCCTAATCGAGCATGATATAGTGAGTTAAAAAAACAATAGTCTATGGTCAGAAGAAAAGTTCTTTAAGAGTTGAAAGGGAATGCTAAATTATCTGTTTTCAACTTGCAGAACATTAGGGTATGACTATAATTATAGCTAGTACCATGTTTCTCATAAAATAAGCCCCTAGGTCTTTCATTAAATAAAATATGCACTGATTGGGTGGACTAAGGGGATGTCTTATCTTTTCATGTACAAAAATCTACAGTTATTCATTTAATAGTATCAAAGCACTTCTTGTCAAGCTATCCTGCTAGTAGATTATTAGCAATGACAAAACATCTCAGTTCTGTCACTGACTCCCTGAGAGTGATATTTTCAAGCAAGGCTTATAAATGATTATTATTACGAGAATCCTAATATAAACAAAAGGAGCAGGGTTTATTAAACTTATTTTCCAGGTGTCTTATTTTCTGAGAAACACAATTTAGTTTATGTAATTATGGTGGGCATTATTATTACAAATCCTTAAAGTAGCTTTTGGACTTAGTGAGTCATGAGTGGTGAAATGTCAGTAGCCTACTTCTGAAGAACATGAGATATTTTTGTTTTAGAGATGTGTTCCTTAGATTTTGTAGGTTGGAAGAAACGCATGTCAGCCCATGGGAAATGCCTGGATCAGAAGAGCTGTGTTTGGGTTTTTCCTTATAACAGCATTAGAAACACATTTTATTGCTGCACAAAAATTAATGTTTTTCTGGTGAGTAAGACAGCTTTGCTCATTACATGAGAACATTGTGTTCAGTGTTAATTTAATAAACTCTGAACTTTGTAAAATATATTATTATAGTATAGAATATCATAATCATTTCTAAATCCAAACTTTTTTCTAAATAGCAACAGCTGTGGCAAATTAAAAGTAAAATTCACCACATCATATATATAATCCTAAAAACACTATTTTTTTAATCAAATGCTAGTTATTAGGTAGTATGGGTCAAATTAGCTTAATATGTTGATTAATTTTTTAAGGTAACAATTCTTAGCATGGTTATGGTTAATTATATTATTTCAAAACAAGGCTTTTTTCAAGTCTGATCATTTTTAAAATGTATTTTAATTTTAACTTTTTCTGATGATACTGATATCTTTTGGTTTTTATTTTTCTGTGGAATCTGTTTTCTTCATTAGTTTAGGCTTATTTTAATATTTTAAAGATGATTTTAATTATTTTATTCAATTTCCGGCTTTTCTCACTAATTTGGTTGTGTACTGTAGGCACCTAGCAGTGCCCCCCCCCCCCCCCCCCCCGATATAGCTGAATACTGAATGAAACCCTCAGGTGACATGGTTTTCAGTTTTAAATTTTTAAGGTTCAGGTAAGCTTTGGATCTAGATTTTATAGTCATTAGATTAGGCAGGGAGGCTATACTGAGTACTGTGATACCTCTGCCATCACAGTAAAACAGAGAGAACCGACTTAGCGTATATTTAACATTCTAATTAATTCTAGTATTATGTATTCACTGAGACGAAGTAAGACTTAATTGCTTATATTATATTTAATTTAATATTTATAATTTATACTTTAATTAACTTACCCTTATCAAAATCATCTACTGACATAGAGAAAACATTTTCCCCAGAAACTTTCCGATTGCAAAACAACAGTAAAGACAATGCAACGTATAATTTCGCAATGCTTTCAAGTGCTTCCATTCTGTATTACTAAAATATTTCTATTAAATGAACTATAACAAAGTAATTTCCAACAGATCGGATTGTACGGGACAGGGTCACATGGGCAGTGGGAAAAAAGATAATATTAGCAACAGAGATTACTAAGAAACATTCAAACAAGCTTCAGTATCGATACTATAATCGTGTTTCTTTTTTGACTCAAAAGTTTTGCAAAATGGCAGTTGTTTGGTAATGAATAAAAGTAATCGATTTGATTAAAATTTTAATTGGGTCGATGTCACATGATCATTAGCCACGTGATCCCATATCACATGATTTCAAGGTTTATTATTCTCATATTTTTTTTGTTCAAGATTGCGGATAGTCAGGTCTAGGTTAGGATTAGAAATCCAAAGAAAAGAAATAAGATCAACATTATTATCTAAATTACATGATATAAAAATTAATTTCTTGATCAAACACTGCATATATCTTTAAAACACTTGAACTTCTAAACGTTAATTTAATAGCCGGTACTACGTACACCGCGGCGGTGTACCTAGCGAAACTATTGACTTTGGCCTGCGTACACCGCAGCGATTTAAAGAAGCAAAACTATGGTCTTTGCGAGTCTTTAACTTTTTGGCCTAACCGGTACTTGTAGATTTAATGTTATACTCGTGTTAAAACTGAAAACTATTTATTTAAAATTCGTTTATTACCTTGGAAAGATATTGAGTAAGTTCCACGCTTATGTGGCAAAGTAATTGTAAAGCATTTCTTATTACTTTTTGGAAGGGAGGGGGCTGGGGGTGTAATGTTAAACCATGATTTATTTTTAAAGTTAACCACCTTATTCAAATATATTTATTAATTGTGGTAAGTTTTATCATATGATTGTGAATCTTAATAGGCATAAAAATGGTAGCTAATTTGAAATTATTCTCTCCCCAACCCAGTTTTTTTTTTTTTTTTTTTTTTTGGGGGGGGGGAGGCATTATAAATATAACATTGTATTTGATCCCTCGGGGCGTGGTGTAAAAATGAATGGGAAGCCAGTTATTTTTTTTTTTTTTTTTTTTTTTTTTTGGGGGGGGGGAGGCATTATAAATATAACATTGTATGTGATCCCTCGGGGCGTGGTGTAAAAATGAATGGGAAGCCAGTGAATCTATTTTGTTAGCACCAAGATATAATAACGCCACAAATACACTATGGGAAGAGAATCACATACTCATACATTGATCATGAAGTCGTGAAGTTAAAGTTGTCCGAGGCATTGTCATTGTGATACCAAGCGTGTGTCAACACAAAACAAAAATATGATGATAAATACGAAACACTACAGTGATTTTTAAAAGTCTTTTAACAATAATTAAATATTATTGATTTAGTTTTACGTTGGCATTACACATTAGTAAAAAATGCCTCCGGAAAGGGGGGGGGGGATGCAAAAGGTAAGATTGTTGTGCGGACGTCCTTTGTGGACAGCCCCTATACAGAGCTGTGATTTGTGAATGCCCCCTTTTTGGTTAAGCCTCTGCCCATAACTCACCTCCACCCCCACCCCCCGGCAAGGATCGATTTCTTAACAAAAAAACAAAAAACAAAAACAAATACAAAAACTTTGACATAGTGCAAATCCTGTCCCAAGGCCATTGTGCAATGGTTTCTGTGAGAAAACGTCGTGTTTTACCCTGTGAATAGCACATGCCATGCCATTCTGGAAACAAATTCCGTCGTGAAAATGTTAAACGCAGACCTATGGCTTTGCTATACAGTTTGTTACCGCTCCGCAAGTTTCTAAAATCGAGGTGTTTTCAAAAAATTTGTTGTGAGACTGAGTGTTGTGAATGAACCTTTGATATCGTGTGTACATTTTGCCAATGCATAAGGCATAGTGAAATCAAGATGGTTCAAGATTGAAATACGACCATGCACATTAATGACATTAATATTCATATAATATTAATGTTATACTGGTATTTTCTTTGGGTGTTGGTAAAAGTAAAATGTAACTATTCAACTACACGAAGAATGTTGAAATACAATAGAATATCACTTAGTCACTGACTTAGTATTCATAATGTTTGTCTTATACATGTTACATACACTATACATGGGCTTTCAGAAACTTTAAGTTTGTTTTCTAGTGTCTAATGTCTTATTACTAAATTTACCGGTATTTTCAAAGTCTAAGGCTGGCACAACTTGTTGAAACACTTATATATACATATATATATATAAAGTTAAAGTGTATGTAATATAATATTTAAACATATATTTAAATTGTTTAAATTGCTACAAAATATTTTAAAACTAAAATGGGAGGAAAGAAAACTCGATCCACTACTGGGAATTGATCTCAAAACATTTTATCGCCAAGCGGCCACTCTTCCACTTGACCGCACAAGATCTTCTCTAACAAGCATATCTTAAAACCAAGCCAATGGTACATTTTTGCCGCGGTGTACCCAGGCCCAGTGACGTAGCGAGGGTGTTTGGCGCCCGGGGACAAGATTCGCGCCGGGGACAAGATCCATTTTTAGCGCCCCTTTTTCTTTTTAAATGGGTTTGAGAAAATAATATCAAAGCGCATTTTGGCGCCCCTAACTAGCTGGCGCCCGGGGACAGCTGCCCTCCCCCCGCCCCCACCACGCTACGCCTCTGCCCAGGCCAAAGCCCACGATTTCGCTAGATACACCGCCGCGATTTACGCAGGCGAAAACCGATGGTTTCGCTAGGTACACCGCCGCGGTGTACGCATCCACTTCTTTTTTTAAACTGTTTAAAACAATAACAAAGACAATGACAAGTCGCTTGCCATACTTAGATCATAAGTCTAAGTAGAAGACCCATACTCATCAAAAGAGGGTTCTCTAATTCACACCAATTGCGAGACTTAAGATCTTAAACTTAGTCATTATATGCTAGGCCATAATCATTAAGCATATGGCATGGGCATGAAAAGGGACCAACTATAGAAGTATACAAGTGATGCAGTTGAGTAGCAAGAGTAAGAGTAAGAGTGACTTCCGAGGTGTCTTTGATTGTGTCGCGCCAAATAAGCCCTAATTTATAATTATCAAAAACTATTAGACGAAAAACACAATGAATTGGCATATATTTACAGAATTATTTACATAATAAGCTTAAATATGAGCCTACGTCTATTAAGTTAAGTGGACCTAAATTGCCACAAGCCGCCCTCTTCTTCCTTTGGCCCAGAGAGACTATGCCAATTTAGTCTATGCCCGTATTTTTAATTAATATCCCAATCCAGGGCCCTTAAATTTGTGCATGGTGCATATCAAAATAATATTACTAGTATTAATAAATATAATATAGGCTTCTAAAATTAAATAATATTGTATTTATAATTTATATAAATGGTTAAATCGTGTCGCATCTGTGTAATTTGTTTTCTTATTATACATTGTCATTGGCTTTTTTTAGAATATAAACACTGCGAAACAGATACTATTTTGACTGCTAAGTATAAGTACTGTGCAATAATTCAATACCGGTAATACATATGATCGTGTGTTCTGTTAATGATGGTACACAGTTTGATTGCGTTTGCTTCAATTTTTTAAGTGTTATTTTATTTTTATACATATTTTAGCTCTGCCTATGAAGGAGGACAACAATTGCGTGGTTATTATTATTATAAGAGGGGGTCACAAGAAAAGGTTGAGAAACACTCGCTTCCGAAATTATAATTATGATTATGTTTAAAAATGACTTTCAATTTTGTAATAATTTTAATTTTGTTTAATTTTAATGTCTTTTTAGTTGTTGGGTCAGTCTGTTTATTATGCCTAATAACCACATTATGATTATATCAGTATTCAATATTGGCATAAATGAGTCATTGTTTACCATATTATTATTATTATTATTTTACTCATTTTAACAGATTACTGATACACTGATTGATTACAAAATTACAGTGATTTGATCTTTACAGTTTTATAATTTATAGACTGCTCAAACTTCGTCTTTGTCTTAGACTTAGAATTTGATATATAAAAAACACAGTGGTCCATTCAGTTGACTCTGGGATTCAGTTTGGTTTAAAAAATAAATAAAAATTACTTTTTTTTTGAAATATTAAAATTTACAGGCTAAGGATGTTAAATGATGTTGATTTTTGAGATCTGAATACCATATTTTTTTAATCATAAATGAAAAAATTTCAGATTTTTTTTTGATAACCAAAATTAGATAACCTAACAGTTAAATGCAACATTAATTACTTTAACAAAGTCAAACTATACTCCATGCTACTTTAATGTTAAAGGGACTTAGCTTAATTCCTGGAAGGTAACTTCCAAAAGTATATATTATAGGAAATCTGAGAGTGCGATGTTTTAGCACATTGACATGTGTAGTCTGTTGTCAATTAACAAGTTGGTGTAAGTAAATCATCATTACAGTAAACATTCAATAGTAATCAATCATCAATTGCATAGTAAAGTGGGTGCGGATGGGGTGGCACTTTTTTCTTTTTATGATTATATGGTGGGACAGCATTTTTTCTAAAAGCAGAGATTTTTTTGGAAGAGGCCAGAAACATCAAATTCAAATGAATAGGATTTTCTGATTGCCACCCCCTCTGACCGATAAACAATGCTGCTGGGTGCCATCCATGGCTGGACATGTAGAATAAATAGTTCTGGGTTGGGCAGAGTGAATATATATAGCTTTTTTTTTAATGAAATAAATGTATGAAACTTTTTGATGTCATGATGTTTGCTAATATTTTTTGTGCAGCGCGATAAGCCCAGCCGTAGGCTGGGGTACCCCCATATATAAGACCATTGTAATAATAATAATTATTTTATGTGTACTTAGTATCAGTATCTAGGACAGCAGAAAATCGAACATGCAGAAAATAGATAAGGAAAAAAAGAACTATTCATACTTTTAAAATTAACAATAAAAGACATAAATCATAATCTGGCGATTTTTATTTAAATTGATAAGTACTGTGGCACTTCCAGTAATATATAACTCAACAAGCTGGCCAAATTTTAAATTTGCAATTTTCCATTAGGTATCACCCACCCGATGCGGTCTATACTATCCTAGTGATGCCACTGCATTTAATTATGCCTTGCCATTAATATTACTACTATAAATAAGATTCAGGCTGCATTCACTTAGCCAAAAATTAAATATTTAAATTTTAATAACAATAATTTACTATATAGGCCTATTATAGTATAAGGGACCTTCTACATATGATGTCACGCATCTACCGGGGAGGCAAGTGGCAGAGCGGGTGCTGGGTGGTTGAAAGGTCTAAACTGACTCAATCCAAATAGCTGGAGGTCTGGAGTTCAATCCCCACCAATGCCAACAGCCCAAGCAACCAGATGGATTCTTAGCCCTGGATGGCAATTCATCTAAGGAAGGCAAACTCTGAATTTAAACCAGGAGCTAAAATGATCAATAAATTGATTGTGGGCCCTCAAATATGAATAGGAAAAAAATTAATAAATAACATTTTTGACTATATTTTATGAAGTTGTCTATATTGTGTGACAAATATGGGGAGAGGGATCCAAAATTGTGCAAAATAGTGTTGATAACATTTATAGACAGCCCCTGATATATTTAATTAAATCTCTTTATTATTTCATTTCAGATCCAATGTTCTCAATGTAGGACCTGACAAATAGCTTCTTTGTTTGCAAAAAAATAATTTCCTTACCAAACTTGAGTCAAAGTACTTGCTAAATAAACTAACTTACATGCTCCAAAGAGTTATCAAAATATATTATTCTGTTCAATTTTCAAGATACTTACAATCATTTAGTGTTTACAACCTAAAAAATATTGGCTTTGCCATTCCATTAAGTCAAGTTAAAGGCAACAGAATGTTTTCATCAAAGGTAAAAAAAAATTTATTATATAGGCCTATATTCTTTTCTTCATCTAAAAAACTTTAAAAGAAAATTATAATAATTTTAAAGTCTAATAAACATGTTACATCATTTGGTGAAAATTTAACTAAAATGTATTATTTTAATTAAATCGTTAGTTCTTGTGATTTCATTTCTTTATTTTTTAACAAGCATTTATTTAAATTTGTATTTACTTATATAATATAATGAAGGTACCATTATCTAAAGATGAGTTAAAATGCTTTTGTTGATCCAATTAAAAGGAAATTTTGTTTTCATTCTTGAAAGTCTTTATTTGAGTTTTTTAAAAAATTACGTATAAACCTAGATTTGAATGGTTTTCTTAGAAAAATTTATTATAAACCTAGATTTGTATGGTTTTTCTTTCTTTTTTTTTTTTTTTTGAAAAACAATAATTTTTCCTTATAATTTGATAGCCGCCATGCAGAATTGGGGATGCTATCACTGATGTTGAAACTCCTGCCTTAATTGTCTGCCTGGAGAAATTAGAGGACAATCTGAACACAATGACAGCAGCCATGAAGGCCTATCCTAATGTGAAATTCCGCCCACATGCCAAGACCCACAAAAGTGCAATGTTGGGGCAGCTGCAGGTAATAAGAATTTTTGTCTTTCTTATCTTAATTTTTTAATTTTTCAATTAGAAATTCATCTGAAAAAATTATTTCTGTTTTATTCCTCTTTTTTTTTTTTATTGTTGATCAGATCAAGTCGGGGGCTGTTGGCCTGTGCTGCCAAAAATTAACTGAGGCAGAGGCTTTAGTGCAGGGAGGCATTGAAGATGTTTTACTTTCAAACCAGGTGAGATGACGTAACATCACATGTGAAACTAATAAAGTAAACTAATAATAACAACGATGTTTATGAAGCTCATCATAACTTTATTTTATTAATTACTGTTCAATTTATTTTTTAGAGCTATATGATTTTCATTAGGTGATAACATCCAAGAAACTGCTCAGACTAGCAGGACTGACTCGCTCTGCTCATGTTGCTGTCTGTGTTGATGATGAGAAAAACATTGAAGATATCAGTAAAGCGGCCAAAGAACTAGATGTTACCCTTGATATAGTTATAGAGGTCAATGTTGGTGGGGACAGGTGAGAGAAACCTAGCGGGCTAAGACTGTGAATACTTTTTGAAAGGTTCAAGGTCTTAATATTTTTTTTATTTTCTGAGCGTTATGTATTATAATAAAATGTATTAGCCTTTCTCAAATCTGATGGGGATTTTTAAGCTATAAAATATATGCAGTTGAACAAATTGCATCAGTAAACATGAGATTATCTATGTTATCTCTAGTTTTGCAAGGTAGTTTATAAAAGAGTACATCAACAGCATTAGATATAACTTTTGTAGATTGATTGACATATTGTTCAAAAAGTTGATTAAAGTGAGAACAAAGGAACGCTTGTTTACCCCCTTGATGTAGAACTTGGTCAGAGAAAATGTTACTGTCTTTTCCTATCCTCCCTAAAATTTGTTTGCTTCTGTAAACACTTGGTGAAAGCTCCTTAGTTGAACAACTTAAATATTTGCATCTTCTGACTGTTACTTTGTTTAACTCCATTTGTTTTACACTGTTTAGATGTGGAGTTGAACCAGGTGAAGATGTTCCTCGACTGGCAAAAAAAATTGAGTCACTTCCCAATGTCATGTTTAAAGGAATTCACTGTTACAATGGGTGAGTTCTCCCATACATAAAATAATATCACCAACTAGAATTTCAAAAATAGTTTACAAGTGAGGACTACGTCATAAATGATAACAGAGAATTGCTGAAGAACTCCGACACATTCTGTGACCAGAGCTTCATTACAATGGTGGAAAATGATCAATAGATAATTTACCTGACAGTGGATGATTAATTATTTTGAGTACAAGAACTTGTTACATGGCATATTTCTCTTTCAAATATATATATATATTTTTTTGTTAATGTTTTCATTTAATTCTTATGTGTTTTTTCTTAATATTAATAATATTAGCATTGATTTATTTTGTAATAGTAACATTTACTTTGATATGTCCAAATATTGTTTCAACATATAACTTCATTCATAATTTTTATTACTTTTTACATTCTGTCGTACAAAGATTTTTACCAAGATTTTCTAAAAGAATTTAATCTCACTAGCCGAAATCAGCATATTCGAAGTGAAGCAGATCGCAAGGCTGCAGTTGATTTGGTAATAGAAAAAACCAAGCTTGCCCTTGTGGTATGTGGAGGAATACTGAAATAAATTCATTCATTCAACTTTAAATTTATTTAGTGATAAATATGCTTTGTAATCTATAATTTCAAATCTATAAACTTATACAATTGTTGTTGAAAGTTAAAATATAAGATTCTAAATTTAATACTAATGCTTCATTTACAGGCCCTGAAACACAGTGGCATTGAATGCAGCTATGTTACCGGTGGTGGCACTGGCACGTTCCACTATGAGGCTGCCAGTGGCATCTTTACTGAGGTGCAGCCAGTATCTTTTGTTATACGAACATTGGTATCTTAATGTCTTTGATCATGTACAACTCACAAAATAATCTGTCTACCTCAAGTTTCCTTGACACTAAAACAGGGCTCCTATGTGTTCATGGATGTGGATTATGGGAAGAATCTGGACAGCGGAGATCAGTATGTGTCAGAATTTAAACAGTCCTTATTTGTTTTGAGTACAGTTCAAAGTGTGGTAAGTTCCTTTCTCAATGTTTTTATTTACACAAACAGATTTTTTGTTTTGTTTTATTCCATGTATGTTTATACTTTTTGTAACATCTCAGTAATTGGGGGATATTTTGGGAATCTTGAGAGAGAGACCTGTCTTAAAACGAGATTAGAGAAGGGTAGAAAATAAGCTTGGTGCATCCACGATTTGTTGAAAGATTGTGACTGAAGAAGGATAGCATACTTATTAAAATATTTATTGTCACATTGAAGGAGCCAGCATTGAATATTGTATTTGTTTATATTTTATTGTGAGTGCTACTATAAAAAGTGTTGTGTAACAGCAGGACTTGATATTGTTCATTGTGGAGGTGAGGAATGCGTGTGTGACAGAGGACGCCTCCAAATATTGAAATAGTGAGAAATAATTCTCCACAGTGATAAGACAGTAATTACAATAATACAACGTTTTCACCCATAATACCAATATCTCTTACACTTCTATATATGTAAATGTTAAATTGTAAATCAATAGTTGAATATGGTCAAAATTGTAATAAATGTGCTTTTTGTTATGTATTTCAACCCCTTGGTAGAATTGTGGTTGATATTTTTTTTCAAAACTATGTTAATATCAAAATTCAAATAAAAATCTATCATATCATAAACCACTGACCTACATTGTTTACTTTTATTAATTGATACCTTGATAATTTTTCTCATTAATATGCATTATAATTTAGCCAGGGAACAGAGCCGTTCTTGATGCTGGGCTAAAAGCTGTCAGTCTGGACTCTGGAGTACCTACAGTAAGATAGTTTATTAGACGTTCCTACAGTAAGATAGTTTATTAGACGTTCCTACAGTACCATAGATTATCAAAGCAATCTGTAATATGATAGTTATTATGGCATCTTGTTAACACAAATTTTAAACAAGACACCTGAATAAATCAAGTAGTATTTAAACATGCTGGGGGCCCAATGGTCATATTGTCTGCCCCTTGACCAAGAGGCGGCAGGTTTGACATTGTCTTGGAAATATATGGAATGAATCGCAAGTCTAAGACAGCTAATTTCATTTTGACTTCAGTGGTTGAAGTTTGTTTTATTCAGGATGTATGTACCTCATATCTATGAATAGCTCGCCTGCTGGGGATGTATGTACCTCATATCGATGAATAGCTGGCTTGTTGAGGATGTATGTACCTCACATCTATGAATAGGTGGCTTGCTGGGGATAGATGTACCTCATACCAATGAATAGCTGCTTTGCCTGGCAGGTGATTCCATTCCATTAGATGCATGCAGCAGGGCTGCTTGTTTAAACCTTTTGACGTATACTAGTATGAAAGTCTGAAATTTAGATACCATGTTTGTCATTCATGTACTAAAACAACATACTTAAAACCCTTACTAAACTGGTGGAATGCGTTGGAAAAAAAAAATTCAAGGAAAGATTATTCAAAATCTTTACTTCAACATTTTGCACAATAAAAAATGTTACAACTCTGTATCCTTTATATTATATTCTGAATAAAATAATTATTGAAAATTTATATTGACAGTTTTAACAACACATACCTTAGCTGGAAATGCTTGTTGTTGTTGTTGTTTTTTTAAATAAAAAGGGAAGAAATAGAGCAGATTAAAAAAACATTCACATAAGATTTGTAGTTAAATTGAAATTTGTTAATATCTCTCTTGCGATATCCCTGCTAGCCACATTGGTGGCATAAAATACTATGACTGCCCCAAAAAGAGTTAAGCAAATAAAATTCGTATTATCAATCATGTAAAATTTGTATTTGATTTTAGCTTAGAGGTGCAGGGGACTTAACTTACCACAGCGGCGGTGATGAACACGGAGTTATTGTTCCTGCTGGCGAATTAAAGGTTGGTAACTTAAGAAACGATGCTTGAAATAGTTGTAAATAGTTGACATAGGCACCCCTTTCAAATTACAGGAATGGAAACAAATTAATAACTAAAAATGTTCCTGTCGTTATAGTTGGGAGACCAGGTTTGGCTGATACCAGGTCATTGTGACCCAACTGTGAATATGCATGAGTGGATCATCGGAATGCGGAATGGCAAGGTGGAGAGTATTTGGCCAGTAGGTGGACGTGGTCCAGGTATTTAGGCCTGGAACCAACAGAAGAGGACTGTCATGGTTTCATTTCAAACTGTTAAATTCCAGGGTCTTGTTAAAACTTTTGTGATTACATTACTTAGGAGTGCAACTCAATAATTATTTCTATAGCAGCTGACATTTCAGGTTCTTGTTGAAGCTTTTGTGATTACATTATGTTGGGAGGGCCACTCCATAATTATTTCTATAGCAGCCGCAAATACAAGTATTAGGCTATGTGTATGATGAACCCAAATAACTGTTGAAAGAATTGATATGTTGTAATTTAATTAATTAATTAAAATGGCTTTTACTAAATCTATGGGCAATTTTTGTATAATTATGAGAACTCCATTCATGATCATGTTATAAATGTCTCTAAGAATCAAGCATGAAAATATTATGAATTTTGAAATTATTTACCATTTGACCAATGAAGGCTATCAATTACAATCAAGGCCATTAATTACTGAAGTGTAATATGAGTAAGTCATTTACATAATTGTTTCTGATGGTTTTAGATAAAATGTGGAATAGCTGCTTTTAATCAGGAATATATTATTCAGATATCTATGTCACTGTTTTTGAAATGGAATGAGGTACATTGTTGATCAACTTTACTTGTATTGAATATCATAAACTAATAAGAAAAGGAATGGTGATTGATATTGGAGATTCTTATCTCCCATTATTGTAATTGACAAATTGGTGTGTAGTTGGCTAATTAATATTATCTAGTCTCCCTAATTCTTTAAAAATAATTATCGTTTTGAATTTCAAAACACTACTTTAATTTGAAGAGTGTTCAATTATTCAATACCTTTCTATGCATTTCTTTTTATCGCTGTTGAAAATGCGCACAATTTTTACAATGAAATAAAATTAAACAACCAAATGTGCCATTTGTATTAGAGAATAAAATGGTTGGTTGTGGGTATATTTTTAATTGCCATGAAACCGGTTTATTAAACCGGGTAATTGAATAAGCCTGTTCACTCATTATGCCAAATATTTATACAAATAAACAGATGCTTTTCAAATACATGTGTTTGCCTTTTACAATGTGATGTTTATTTTATTATCTTCAATTTGAAAATAAGATGCAGAGAAATGTTTCCATCAATAATATATTGTAATTAATTCATTCATAATATTTCATACAATATCTTACTTTGTATTGTACTTAATTCATTCATAATATTTCATACAATATCTTACTTTGCATAAGAAAATTCTTACCCCTAACTATTTACAAATCAGTTTTACAATCAGACTACGTAAGTCTGTTTAAAACCAATATTAACAAGACTATCGAACAAGTAATATGGAGCTAACATAAAATTTAATTGTTATATAATTATTTGTACATGAAGAAAATTACATAATGAATATATACATTAATTTGTTACAATTATTTCAAATACACATAACAACAAATCTTTTAACAAAAAGTGGCCTAACACATTCCTGGGGTGATAATCTTAAGACTCAAGTATTAATGTGTACAACATCATATTACTCTTTTCTTCCAGTTTTGTCAAATTAGATCTTAAAAAGATCATTCTAAATTTTTGGAGTTTGTTGGGGAAAATTTCATGGTTATAAAATACTATTATGAACAACAACTTACAATGTTTTATTTACATAATTATCAGCAGCCAATTTTCTGGGTTGTAAGCAACTTGGGAAATAATTGCTTGTATATTAGAATCCATTTGGGACGTTTCGTGGCCGAATTCTCCTTAAAACATTTTGAATTCTCCTGATACCTTAAAAGATTACAAACATATTCAGATATGTTAGTAAGTTTTGATCAGTGTTAGTAATTTTATAGAATTTGTCAGGCAAAAAATTATAATTTTTGTTTTTTTCAAGTGCTGGTAAAGTTGTTGACAAATAATTTCATGAAGTATCTGATGTTAAATAAAAGCAGTGTGTTAAGTTATTGTGTATTGATAAATTTACCACATTTCTATCCATTTTTGCAGTGTTAAGATTTAATGAAGCTAAGATCATTCTTGATAGTTGCCTCATATAAAAATTTATATTAAATTTTAAGTGAAAGGTGGAATTGTTTTAAAGCAGACAACATTTTTTTTTTAAAAATGCCCAAATCTGCTCACCCTCAAGACTTCTGCTGTCTTCCAGGGTGAAGACAATCCTAAAGTAACCGGGGTCAGAGCTGTAACATGCTTGCCCTGGCAGTAAGAACACTTTCTCTTTCAAGAATTGTTCAAAGAGCCATTCTTCTCCTTTAAATGTTGGCTGCGGCAAATACTGGATTCAAAAAATGACATTGGGTTATAAATAGGTTTTGGAAAACCCTATTTCCTCTTTTAAAAAACAACAAAAAAAACCAACAATTAAATATAGCGTAAATAATTAATAATATATTACTTTTAAGTTGTTAACCTGCAGTTATCAGTTCTTTAATTTTTGCAGTCATATAATCTGCAGTTGTTTACCTCCAACATACGTTGTTATGCTTATTCGTTAATATACATGTTTACTAGACCTCCATGTACTAAGACTAAGATACTGGAAGAAACCTATTTGGCAAAATAAACAATACGTTTGCTGAAATCCTTCATTCCACTACTACTACTGACTACTGGTTACCAGAATAAATCTAGACATGTAGGTAAAAGTAATGTTTATAAACAAAAACAAACAAAAAAACACCACCAAACATTACAGTACACACAGCCAAAATGTCCCACCATTGAAGCGTCCATCCAAATGAAGATCCCACCGGAACTGTGATGCACCGTCACGCCACATTTCGTGATTTCGTCATAGAAAAGTTTGTGGTTTCTGTGGAGACGCTCTCTCAGTGCTGGGAAGTAGGTCTGGCGTAACCATTCTGCGTGATGGAGAAGAGTTTTTCATTCTCTTATTTATTCTGTTGTAACGTGTGCGCCATACTACAAAATAACCCATAACGGTCGTCACAGGCGCCTGTCTCTGATAATTTACAGCATTAGTAAGTCGTCTATTTTCTCCCAGCACAACACATAGTTGGTGCCGGCAGGAAGGGTCTGGTCAGTGGCGTAACAACGGCTTAGCATTGGGGCTGTTGCCAAGGGTGCCGGCCTGCGCCAGTTCAAAAGGGCACCGCAAAGCTGACACTTGTCAATTTATCAAGGGCGCCAAAAATAAATTTGCTAAGGGTATCAAAAACCCAGTTACGCCTCTGGGGTCAGGTTAAGGGCTTGCTGACAAAGCATCTCAGCTACGACTATGAGTAACATATACCTTATACTAGCTGTCAACTTCTGTTCGGCCCCACCCCAAGAATTTCATTTCAGATTTTTTCAGGGTTGGTTTGGAGGAGAAAAAAAAAAAAGGGGTGGGGGGGCAAAAAAAAATGGCTTGCTTAATGAGTTGTTTATTTCTGGAGGCGCCACAGTATATATTAATTTAAATAAAACTTGAAAATTCTTGGGGGGAGGAGGGGGGGATTCCTCCCTGCCCTATCCAAATGAGGTCCATGCAGCATCCCAGTGTTTAAATGATAAAATAATTGTTTCCATTGATTTGATTTGATTCGACTAGTCAGAAGAAGGTACGAGCTCATGCAGCGTGGAATCAACTTTTCTCCACTTTCATGGGCTGCTATAGTTTAGTTCCACCCCATTGCAATCCCCATACCCGCCCACACACAGCTACACCATTTTAACACTGTACCCGTATCGTCAATGAGGTATTTGAGTCGTCTCTGTATGGCCGGGGCAGTCTGCTGGTAGAGTCCGAGGCACGCCATGTAGTTGATCAGTTTTTGGTTCTTGGAGTAGAGCACGCCACATCTGTAACCGGACAATCCAAAGTCCTATGGGCAAAATAATCAGCCTAATTATATCCAGGGTTAAGTCCAGAAGAAGATAGTGTGAGAACTCACTCAAGATTCCCAAATACCGAAATCAATATGCACAAAATGTACACGCATTTATTTCTTTAGCATAGAAAAGCCCAGGAACGCCTTTCCTATGCGTTCCTGCAGGGAACTCGAGTTCTGAATAACTTAGTTTCCCAAGCGACAAAAAAATTGAATATGAACATAACTGGTTGAAGAACGTAGAGTACATATTATTATGAATGTAAACCCGCCTACGCCAGGAATGAACCCATTCATTACAGCGTTAAATAAATAATAATAATAAAATTGTTCTTGACGATCTGCCTTTATGACATAAGACAGGCCTGCACTTAGCACTACATACGGCTCGCGGGGCACATGCGGCCCGCCAGCACCCACTTTGCGGCCCGTGAAATGACGAAATATTCGTTATCATTATTATTTTCTCAATAGCTTTACCCCCTGTCCTATTTTCTTTCGGTCTGCACACGTTTTTCATAAATTATTTCGGAACGCCAACATTTTGAGTTGTGCAGGCCTGAATTAAGACATTGATATATTATACAACACCTGATAATCACAACCGATTAAAACCATCATTTAACCGATGAATTCCAATATTATCTTAATGAAGTAAAGTTAAAACTATAACTTATATTTATATGAACAGATCTATAAATTTACTTGTGTACAGACAGTGAATAGACACAACAGTATTTACCTTACTAAAGCCCCATAAGAAATGGACTCGATCAGGGTCAGGGTGGTACAGCGACAGCACGCTGGTGAACTTGACATCGGGGTCAAAGATGGACATGGCATAAATCTCGTCTACAATGACGTGTAGCTGGTACCTGGATGGAGTAGGGAGGAGGTCGACATTTTATACATGGGCGTCTTACTTAGCTTTGAACAGCGGAAAAAGAGGGGGGGGGGATCATATTAGTCAAACTTAAATGAACGTCACTTTCTTATTGACGTACGTACATCTTAAATTAAAGTTCATCTGACGTAGAGTTGTCTCACAATGACAGGGGCGTCATTTCAAATTTTTTTCGGAGAAGGGGATGGGTGGGAACAAAACTTAGGCTTGCTAAGTTGTTTATTACTGGAGGGGCCACAGTACATAGCAATTCAAATAAAACCCACACATTCAGCCCGGGGGCGGGGGGGGGGTGGGGGTAAGAGAAATGCTCCAATATGCCCTGACCAAATGTAGAAGGGGATGGGTGGGAACAAAACTTAGGCTTGCTAAGTTGTTTATTACTGGAGGAGCCACAGTACATAGCAATTCAAATAAAACCCACACATTCAGCCCGGGGGCGGGGGGGGGGTGGGGGTAAGAGAAATGCTCCAATATGCCCTAACCAAATGACGTCCCTGCACTATGACCAAATTATATCCATGATTTCAGTAATTTCCCCGTTTATTTTTTTTATTGTACATGAGACCCCACAAAAGAGTATCCTTGCAATAGAGGCTAACTTAATGTGTAGGCGACTGTTATAGAACAGGCATGTAAGTGGACGTATGTTATTTTAAGTCTCTAACATCCTTTGACACACTAACTTTCAATATGAACTCACTCTGTCCCTAAATATGATACACTGATGCCTTATACTGGTTACAAGACATAAACACTAAGACTTGTTAGTGGAAGTATTTGATACCTGGCGGCAAAGTCAAGAACAGCGGACAGCTGGTTGGCGGAGTAAACATCACCAAGGGGGTTGTTGGGGTTGACGAGCAGCAAGGCTTTGACCCGCTGACCCTAATGGGACGATAATATTTTTAAAAAAAATTTTAAGATAGTGAAACTAAGTTTTAAAAAAACAACAACATTTTAGTTAAGTATTAGTAATATTTAAATCGTAATTAAAATAAATCATTTTGACATTTTTAAGTTAAGATATTTTATAATATTTAAACCGTGATGAAAATAGAACATTTTAAGATAAATAAAGATTTAAAAAACAAAAACCTTTCTCTCCGCATCCAGGTAAGCGTCAATCATTGCATCGACATCCAAAGTATACGGCTTGACCCATCCAGTCTTAGGCTGTGGAGAGCACATCAAGAAATGCTTCATAATTCTTGTCATAACACAAAACGACTTAACTTTTAGCATGCGCCTGAATTAAAATAATCCATCAAAGGTTGTTGGTGAGTTAGGCCCGAAAG